CCCTTCCTCTCTCCCTCCAATAGTGTTTTATTGCTCTAACACATTTTTCTTTTAAATCTGAGTTCCTCTGAACATTTGAGGTGAATATGATGAGGGGATATATTCCTCATCATAGAGGTAATTAAAGTTTATAGAAATAGCCAAAGTCTGCAGCAAATCCCTCCTCTAATGAGGAAACCAGGAGTCTGACTTTCAAACAAACACTCTTGTTAATCTTTTCAAAGCAAGTCAGACATGTGGGCAGGGAAAAAGCTGTAAACTGACAGTGGTTCTGGGGCTGCCCTTCCTTGGCCACTCTGTAGCTCATTCGCAAGCCAGACCACACCTCATTCCACAGGGTTCATCCCTTCCTTCTCACTGGGGCCATCTGTGAGCAAGCCCTGTGTCACTTGTTTTTGCTTACATGGAGAGCTGTGACATGTTTGAGAGTTAACAGGAAGCTTTACTCTATTTTTCCAGTTAGATTCATATAGTCTAGGAGAAGCTGAGGTAGGAGGAAAAGCATAGGCAAATACAATCAATTTGTTGTCAGCTGATGCAATACTCTGGACACAAATAAATGACTCTGCCCATTATTTCTCTTGCCTCATTTGCTCTGAGACAAAAAGGTGAATCCACTGGAAAATGAATGAAAGTTTACCCTGCTTCATAGTAATGTCTGGACATGCCCTGATAGTCTGTTCCAATTACTACATGGTAATATGGTGACAGTACTACACTACTAGAATCCCAAGTGTGCCTGTGATTTGTCATGGGTATGAGTAGTAGAATGATGGTAAGGTCTCATCTGTCAGGGGAAAATAGTCCTTTCCCTTGTGGGCAGAAATATCTGAAATAATGTTCATGATTCTTCCCTCAGCACAGTGGCAATGCTATACTAAAAATTATATTTTTTACATACATTCTGATAGGACAATTTAGGCCCTGTAGATATTCTCAGATTCAAATGTTCTATCCAAATACTTGCTTTTAATTTTTAATGTCTTGTTCGACATCCCTTAGTAAGACCCATCAGCCATGTATAATTCACCCATCCGGCCATAGTTCATCTATCCTTTTGGCTGACCTGGTGCCCCCTTATTTAGTAGCAATGCAGGTGGAGGTGGGGGACCCTTGATACTCACGGGGGACTTATTAAGAGTAAGGAAATCTGGAGATTAGGAGGTTCAGGTATTTTGGTTGGAAATGTTTCCCCATCCATGGGGCTAAGTATTTGCCATGACAGCTCAAGTCTTCACTCTACATCTTGACACGGATGAAAGCAGCCCCACTCAGGGCCCCTCCCACTGCCCCCAAAGGATTAAACAACCTGAGCAGATAATGGCTGCCTTAAAAGGATCTTTTGCATGACTCAGATGAATGCATGCTGTCTGTCGCCCAGCTTGGCAGCTAAACATTAATTTTTTTTTTTTAAAAAAAAAAGAAAAATAAACCTACAGATGACAATTCTTTTCAGACAAGGTATGGAGTCTGTCTGCAAAGGATAGAGAGAGACAGAGGCCAGGTCCCCAGTGCAGAAGGAAGCCCAGGTGGGGCCAGGGGCAGGGTGGGGGCAGCACACAAAGCTGTCGGGCAGGATTAAAGGTAAAGGAGCCACAGAGCAGTGTCAGGTTCTCAAAGCTGTCCGCCAAGCAGCCACTTTTCTTTTATGTATCCTAACCCCCCTGCCTGCCCCCAGGTTTACGACAACACTTTTCAAGGCTGTGTTCCAGGCTTGATTTCTCAGAGGGAGTTCTGCCAAGTTGCAGAGCAGTCTCCCATGATGTTGTCTGCCACTGGTGAAAGCTCATCTGGAATTCTTTGGTCCTCCCTCCAAGACCGCAGAGGATCATTCTTGGGTGCTGAAATAGGACATGGCTTTTCTCTACTTTATGCTTGCATGCCATAAAATATCGTTCCTTACTCCTCAGGTAATTGAAATCCAGGTTGTTCAGAAGCATTACTATGATACGAGATTTTGGAGTATACACATCACTTGTTCCTTTGAAAAAAGGCACTCTGACATCTGAACCCTGGTCAGTTGTTAGAGCTGGGCCCTAGGCTTCTTGGATGATAAGGTGCCAATCTTGGGTGGTGACCAAGTCAAAAGACTTACATAATAAATTACCAATGACACTGACCCATAGCAGGGACATTTTCCAAGGAAAATAGTAATTGTTTCAGATGTAGACCGTAGCCAGTAGGCAGAGAGAACAGTGTCACTGAGAAGAATCAGTAAAATCTGACAAGTGCCTTAGGGATCAAACTCTGTTCCTGTGGGATAGGTTTCTAGAAACATGAACAGATGCCATAATTCCCATGCTATTCTTTTAACTCCTGAGACCAGCAGGTGCCATGAGTGTGTTGGTGTTAATGCTTAAAAATGTGAAGACTGGGTTCCTACATTGGCTATCCTATTTTATGATAGCACCCAAGAATATCTGAAGCAGTTTTGCCCCTCAGAGGACATTTGGCGATGCCTGGAAACACTTTTGATTGTCTTGACTGGGGGTGCTACTGGCATCTAGAGGCCAAGGATCTGCTAGATGTTCTACAATATACAGGGCAACCCACCACAACAAATAATTATTTGGCCTAAAATGTTGATAGTGCTACTATTGAGAAGCTCTGAGAACTAAGGCATCTGGTGCAATCTCAAGTGGTAATAATTGTCTGGAAAACACAACATTTAAAATGGCAGACATGACTCTCTTTCCCCTTTGTGTGCCCCCTAATCTTCTATAATCTGATCCCAAGAGCTGAAAAGCAAAACTCACCTCCCTCCCCCAAATGCACATGCAAGTGTGTTTGCAGGCATGGTAATGCTGATGTTCTCTGAAGTACTTTCACAGTTTAGTCCAGCTCCAATTTCAAAGCCCCAAACAGTAAGTTTCTTCTGCCATCAACAAAGGAATTTTTCCCTGCAATTCTTATTTCCCTGCCTACAAGCAAAGGTGAGTGCCAAGCCCAAAGGGCTCATAGGTTAAATGACTAATATTTAATGAGCTTGTATTAACAACAATTATGCTAACTGTGACACCTGAGCTTTTCACTCTGTTCCTCTAACCTCAGGATGAATAGCTTTTAGTCGGGAATGTCTCATTACAGGTACAGTAGATTTGTTTCCCGTTCTACATGTACCCCAATGTTCTGTTCACATGACCTGTGAAAATTTGCTATCACCAGGTGGCCCAGTCCTATCACTTGCAATAATGGGTTCTAGAAGCTGACTACTCTGGCCTTTTATTTATGTTGTTTTATTAATGAGAGAGCACGTGTACATGAGTGAAAGACAGAGAACATCCTCCATAAGGTTTGGTCATACCTTGGTCCACTTTCTCCAGATCACCTGGATCCCAGGCAGGCGTGTACATGCCTGGCATGTTCTTGTGCTGACTGAGCCAGGGACTTGAACTGTGGTAAGCATGTGGCTTCCAGCTCCACACTTTGCTATGTTACTTGGATGTACCTCAGAGGCTGGACCCTAACTCTTATTTTTTTTGGAGAGATTTTCACTGTAGGGCGCGTGCGCTTGCCAGACAGACAGAGGGAGACATAGAGACAGAAAGCGAGAAATCACCCCCCAGGGGGGATGGTCACACTGCAATCCTTCTCCTCCATTCTCCTCTCGGGATCTTGGGCACGCACACACACGCGCCCGGCGTGAGTTTTAAGCCACCGGGTCCGGGACACGAACCGCGGTCGACTACGTGGGAGTCCAGCGACATAGCCATTACGCTAACTGCTGGTTCCCGACCCTAACTCTTATTTTATTAACTCTTCAGCAACTACACTTTCCTGCCAACCAAGAGCAACCTCCAAGATAGGTTAACTTCTGCCTCCACCTCCATACTCCCTATCTCTGAGTGTCAAGAAAAATTAGTGCTAGAGCCTGGGACTTCAAGTAGAGATAGGGAGCCTTATCTTTAAATATGTTTAATTCAATAATTTCCATCCAACCCCCTTCATGCATGTCCTTTAGACTCCAAACCTTCCACTCTAGCTTAGCTGCGAAGAATGTTTTCAAGTGGCTTACTTGAGAGTCGACTGGAAAGTTCTGCAGAAAGAGTTGTCATGCCGCTTGCTCGTCCAGGTGAAATGGGTGTTGCTGGGTGCACAGAAGGGGAGGCAATTGAGCCCAGGTACTGGTAGGACTGATCATAGGACCATGGTGGGGATGGCTGGATCTGCCTTGTATCTGCAGACGATCAGAGAGGTCAGTTACAGAGAGTAGAAGGACTTGAGAAATAAGAAATCTTCTAATAACGTTTGTTTAAATACATCACACATGTAAGTGGCCTATTCACCATTGTTTCATGAGCCTACTCAAGTCCAAGTAGTTACCTCTGCTGGATGACTTCTCTTCCAGAAGATACTGAAATAGAATTCATGTTTGATCCATGGAGATACTCATTTGATAATTATTCCTTCTGAAGGTTTTATTTAATCACACTAATAATGATGCCAGGAATGGATTACACTTTTAGGGTAGAAGTATTATTTGAACTGTTGTCCTATAGCACTTGACAACTTTACATATTGACTACTCAAATTATTTTAGTTTTAGCAATAATTATTAATACAATTGTTATCAAAACTATTTCATAAACTCATGTCTATTCAGTAAGAAAAACCAATATAGTGTTTTAGAATTCTTTTTTATCTTTCGCAAAAATATTCTATGAGCTTCTAGATGTTCTTATTTAGGTGAGTTATCTCCCAAGGACAGCAGAAAAAAGGAATTCTGGTGAACAGCTCCCAAACCCAACAGTAGAGCTGATTCTGTCAACTCAGTATTCTGCCTCTTTTCAAGACTTCAAGCTTGCAACTTTTAAAGTGCAGATTTCTGAGCAAGTAGTTTATAGATTGGCAGAATATAAGAGACCTGGGATAGGGAATAGACAAAAATCTGACTTAAAAAGATTTAGACAAAATGGATTTTGTAAATTTGACCCCAGTCTTTAGCATTACAACCTTTGGAGATAAAAAAGAATGAGAGTAACTCCTCTGCTCTTACACAAAATGTATAAGGAAATTGAAATTGGACACTGTCCACTACAACAAAGTTTTACATTGATTTAAATTAAACATTAACTTTCTCTTTTTGTGTGACCTTCTTTGTGGACAAAGATAACAGCAAACTACTGTAACTCCCAAGGGTCTCATAGCCAGAGCCTCATGATCCTGGGAGTAGCAATCTAGGAAGAACAGTCTTCTTTAGGAAAATATCTGGTATAAGTTTTGTATGTGCTATGATATAAAGAAATGAGTTACTCCTATTCATTATAACATATTCACATTGGCTCCCTCAGGGGATTTTCATTTTCAGTAAAGTTTGGCTTTTCTGTTCATCTTTTTGAAGCTGCCACAGTGGATGACAGAATCAGACATTTGTTGACTCATCATTCTCTCCACTCTTCTCCTAACAACCCCTTTAGGCCCCTCCCTCTATTTCTTTTCTTTTTCTGAAAATAGCTGAATTTTTAAGTTTGAAAAACCTGGTAGTTCCTGAGCAAATATTTTAACTGGATTCTTTTGAAAGTAAAGAAAAATCTTCTTTTCTTTCTTTTTTGCTTCAGGGTGGATGTACTTGCCAGAGAGAAAGTGAGAAACTCCCCTTTCCCCAATGGGGGATGAACATCCTATAATCTCTTCTCTCCCATTTCTTCTCCTCTCAGGATTCTGGGCATGCATGCATGTATACTCCATGTGCTTTTCAAGCTACTGAGTCTGGGACTTGAACCACACAGTTGGCCATGTGAGATCAAGCTGCCTTAATGACCATGCCACCAGCTGGCCTGAAAGATCTTCATTTCATTCCAAATTTTAGAAGATTTGAGATGTCAGTGAATAAGAAAGCTGGTTCATGTTAAACTTAGGAAAATAAATGTTTAGCTACAGTGGCAAATCCTGTGTAATCTTTTTTAAAAAAGAATTATTTTATTAATTTAATTTAATTAATTTTTTTTTGGAGAGGTTTTTGCTGTAGGGTGCCACAATTGTGGCCATGCCACAATTCCTTCTCCTTCATTCTCCTCTTGGGATCTTGGGCATGCATGCACATGTGCCTGGCATGAGTTTAAGCCACCGGATCTGGGACTCGAACCACAGTCGACTATATGGGAATCCAGTGACATAGCTATTATGCCAACTTCTGGTCCCAAATTTTATTTATTGTTATTATTTTTAAAAATTATCTATCTATCTATCTATCTATCTATCTATCTATCTATCTATCTATCTATCTATCTTTAATTTTATCTATCTTTAATTTGATCAGAAAGGGACAGAGCTAGAGGGGGGAGGGAGTGAGGAAGTAAGTTGCCAGGTTTGGGACTATAACTGCGGTTGGCCATGTGGGAGTCCAGTGCCCTTAACCACCACGCCACCTGCCGGCCTGGATTCTGTGTAATCTAAGGTTAACAATGTTTCCAAACACTGAAGGCAAACAGAAATACTGGGCTAGTCAATAGTCCCATATTACCTCAAGTATTTTGCTCTATAGTCAGATATTTTCTACAAGATGTTCATGTCCTAGATACACACATTTACTCAACTACATAGTACTCAAATATTTTAATGATTTAAAAAGCAAACAAAAGAGGTTATAAAGCCCTCCAGGGTGTGAATTGTGGTACAGTAATTCGTGCCTGTTGTGTAGACAGCCCAGCACCCCTAACCCCATGTCTAAAACTACACTAAGCATAAAGTATTAGGCCATGATTCATGCTCTGTCATGTTTTACTGTAGTGAAAAAGTTGTGCTAAGCTTTTCTAAACTCATAATTAAACCATGCAAACGTTGCATAATATTTCACAGCCTTTTAAAAATATGCTTTGGTGAAATGATCTTTATGATTAAAGTCTAAGTTCTGTGATTTTTTTTTTTTAAACATAGGGTTGTAGATTCAACATCTTCCTTCACACCATAACTTAGTATTCTGGGTACTGGAGTGAGGGATAGCAATAGAAACCCTAACGCTCACTCTTTCCTCCCCTTACCAGTGTTCAGTCTTCTGACCACTGTACTTGGGCTCTTTGCCAGTGTAGAGCCAGAAGGTGCTGATGGCAAGCCTCTCGTTTTGGGTTTTGGGATGTTTTCTTTACATATTAATAAAAAGCAAAAACAAAAAAGGTGTGAAATATGTTACACTATGTTTAACATTAAATTATAGTTTTTGCCCTGATGGGGGCAACATGGACACGGCAAGTATAGAAATTGCAGAGCCATAGGCCTACCTGAGCACTGGAATGTTAGTCAGGAAGGTGGGCTCTAGGCCTGACAGTGTAGTAAGCAGCTGGGTGACCCTGGATTACTCACACCTTATTCTCATCTCTGAAAGGAGGTGATGTTTAAATCATTTCTAATGTTGACAGAGTAGGATTCTAATTCAAATGTTCTACTTAGTATTTTTTAACTTGTATGTTATTTGCATCTGTAAATTAAGAGTCAGGAAATGTACTCATGTTGGGAAAATTTATTTGGTATTCTGTAATGATGCACAGCGACTGAATGTAAAAAAAATAAAACATAAAAAAAATTTTTAAAGAGTCAGGAAGAGGCAGGTTGGGGGATGTATAGGTTGAAGAGTGAAGCTTATAATAATAAATTGTGCATTATTAGAAAAAGAGTAAAAGGGAAGATGGCAGAAAAGGCCACAGCTGAGTTAGAGAGCCACTGTCAATCATTTTTCAGAGCACAGGGCTACTTGTTCTTGAAAGAGTTGGCTCTCTTAAGTCAATCCACCAAAAAAATAAAAGTCCATTGAATATTTACCTATGTACCAGGAAAGTGTTAATTTAGCTGGCAACAGTGATTAATAAGACTAAAATGGCACCTGCCTCATGGAACTCAGTGAAGATCTCAGTACTCTGTGAGGCTTGGAAATGTTTTTTCCTGTTGCATTGCTCATCACACTGTGAGTTGCTTCATTCATTCATTTATTCATAGATTGATGAAATTATTCACTTTCTCATTCATCCATATTTCCTACAAATATTTTTCTTTATGGGGGCCATTTATTGGGGACTTACTAGTGAAATGGACTATAGTCCCTGACTTCTGGGAGTTATAGCTACTGGGAACCTACAGGTTACCTTGGCTAACTTCTTGATTAGCTGCCTAATTCGGATTGCCAACACCTGTTCACATGGTAAAAACAAAGCTCACAAATGTTATTTATTACATGCTTATGCTCTGCCTCAGAGGATCAGACTGGGGAAAGTACCAAACTTAAATCATAGATGAATTTTGGTTTGAATGCTGTGTTCACTATAAACTAGCTGTATGACCTTAGGCCAATTGATTATTTTCTCTGATCCACAGTTTTCTGACTTCAAGGGGTACTAATGAGGAAGAAGTAGAATAAGCTGTATATAATAAGAAACTATCACAATTTCTGGCCATAGTAAATGCTAAGTAACTCAGTATTTTTTATGATTATATTACTAAAAAGGAATATAAATCCATGCCAAGGGACTATACTTATTGGTAAGGCTACATGCACCTGCACCACAATGAGGCTTAGGTAATATTGCCTTGTTTACTGCTAAAAGGCTGGACAACCACACTCTTCAGTACTGAAGAGGAGCTGGATACAGGAGATTAAATGTTAAAGAGGCAAGAAAACTGAGTATTGGAAATTAGGATAGAAAAGGTGAGGATCTAGTATCTCAACCAATTCTTTCCATTTTAAAAAAGTACTGGATTAGAAAACCAAAGTTTGAGCCTTTCTGCATCTACTTTTTTTTTTTTTCTGTAGCAAATGTTGTATTGATACAGCCACTTTATAGGCCATGTTTTAAATGGGTTGTTTTCAGCTTTTTGTTCTTCAAGTAATGGATAAAACAGAAACATCTTTCTGTATTCTGAGTCCCACTCTTTTCCATTTAAGATTGGGGTCAAAGGAAAAGAAGAAGGTACGGCTAAGGCTAGCAGTGGGCTTAGAAGTGTCCAGAGCACATATCACTCAATAAGAAAGCAGAGGAAATTTCCCTTTTGATGCAGCAATATTAGTGATCCTATCAAATAAGTCATCAAAATGTCCTGCTGCCTTTGGTTTCAACTCTAAATGTAAAGGGCTTGGGAGTCATCACTCTTTATTACAAGAGAAAAGCAAAACAAACTGAAAATCCATGACTTTTCTTACTTAGACGCTCCAAAGAATTGAAATTTCAGGGCAAAGTGCCATCTCAAAAT